ACACAGAGGGCTGTTTACACTCTCACACACACACACTGAGCCATCTACACTCAGACAGTGCGTGAGACACACACACAGAGGGCTGTTAACACTCTCACACTGTGAGCCATCTACACTCAGACACAGTGCGTGAGACACACACACAGAGGGCTGTTTACACTCTCACACACTGTGAGCCATCTACACTCAGACACAGTGCGTGAGACACACACACAGAGGGCTGTTTACACTCTCACACACACACACTGTGAGCCATCTACACTCAGACACAGTGCGTGAGACACACACACAGAGGGCTGTTTACACACACACACTGTGAGCCATCTACACTCAGACACAGTGCGTGAGACACACACACAGAGGGCTGTTTACACTCTCACACACTGTGAGCCATCTACACTCAGACACAGTGCGTGAGACACACACATAGTGGGCTGTTTACACTCTCACACACACTGTGAGCCATCTACACTCAGACACAGTGCGTGAGACACACACACAGAGGGCTGTTTACACTCTCACACAAACACTTTGAGCCATTTACACTCAGACACAGTGCGTGAGACACACAGTGGGCTGTTTACACTCACACACACTGTGAGCCATCTACACTCAGACATAGTGCGTGAGACACACACACAGAGGGGTGTTAACACTCTCACACACACTGTGAGCCATCTACACTCAGACACAGTGCGTGAGACACACACAGAGGACTATTTACACTCTCACACACACACACTGTGAGCCATCTACACTCAGACACAGTGCGTGAGACACACACAGCGGGGTGTTAACACTCTCACACACACTGTGAGCCATCTACACTCAGACACAGTGCGTGAGACACACACACAGAGGGCTGTTAACACTCTCACACACTGTGAGCCATCTACACTCAGACACAGTGCGTGAGACACACACACAGAGGGCTGTTTACACTCTCACACACTGAGCCATCTACACTCAGACACAGTGCGTGAGACACACACACAGCGGGGTGTTAACACTCTCACACACACTGTGAGCCATCTACACTCAGACACAGTGCGTGAGACACACACACAAAGGGCTGTTTACACTCTCACACACACACACTGTGAGCCATCTACACTCAGACAGTGCGTGAGACACACACATAGTGGGCTGTTTACACTCTCACACACTGTGAGCCATCTACACTCAGACACAGTGCGTGAGACACACACACAGAGGGCTGTTAACACTCTCACACACACACACTTTGAGCCATCTACACTCAAGACACAGTGCGTGAGACACACACACAGTGGGCTGTTAACACTCTCACCCACACTGTGAGCCATCTACACTCAGACACAGTGCGTGAGACACACACAGAGGGCTGTTTACACTCTCACACACACTGTGAGCCATCTACACTCAGACACAGTGCGTGAGACACACACACACAGTGTGCTGTTTACACTCACACACACACATACTGTGAGGCATCTACACTCAGACACAGTGCGTGAGACACACACAGTGGGCTGTTAACACTCTCACGCACACTGTGAGCCATCTACACTCAGACACAGTGCGTGAGACACACACATAGTGGGCTGTTTATACTCTCACACACACTGTGAGCCATCTACACTCAGACACAGTGCGTGAGACACACACACAGAGGGCTGTTTACACTCTCACACACTGTGAGCCATCTACACTCAGACACAGTGAGTGAGACACACACACAGAGGGCTGTTTACACTCACACACTGTGAGCCATCTACACTCAGACACAGTGCGTGAGACACACACACAGCGGGGTGTTAACACTCTCACACACACTGTGAGCCATCTACACTCAGACACAGTGCGTGAGACACACAGAGGGCTGTTTACACTCTCACACACACACACACTGTGAGCCATCTACACTCAGACACAGTGCGTGAGACACACACAGAGGGCTGTTTACACTCTCGCACACACTGTGAGCCATCTACACTCAGACACAGTGCGTGAGACACACACACACAGTGGGCTGTTAACACTCTCACACATACTGTGAGCCATCTACACTCAGACACAGTGCGTGAGACACACACACAGAGGGCTGTTAACACTCTCACACACACTTTGAGCCATCTACACTCAGACACAGTGCGTGTGAGACACACACAGTGGGCTGTTAACACTCTCACACACACTGTGAGCCATCTACACTCAGACACAGTGCGTGAGACACACACATAGTGGGCTGTTTATACTCTCACACACACTGTGAGCCATCTACACTCAGACACAGTGCGTGAGACACACACACAGAGGGCTGTTTACACTCTCACACACTGTGAGCCATATACACTCAGACACAGTGCGTGAGACACACACAGTGGGCTGTTAACACTCTCACACACTGTGAGCCATCTACACTCAGACACAGTGCGTTAGACACACACACAGAGGGCTGTTTACACTCACACACACTGTGATCCATCTACACTCAGACACAGTGCGTGAGAAACACACACAGAGGGCTGTTTACACTCACACACACACTGTGAGCCATCTACACTCAGACACAGTGCGTGAGACACACACACAGAGGGCTGTTTACACTCACACACTGTGAGCCATCTACACTCAGACACAGTGCGTGAGACACACACACAGTGGGCTGTTAACACTCTCACACACTGTGAGCCATCTACACTCAGACACAGTGCGTGAGACACACACACAGAGGGCTGTTTACACTCTCACACACACACACTGTGAGCCATCTACACTCAGACACAGTGCGTGAGACACACACACAGAGGGCTGTTTACACTCTCACACACACACTCTGTGAGCCATCTACACTCAGACACAGTGCGTGAGACACACACACAGAGGGCTGTTAACACTCTCACACTGTGAGCCATCTACACTCAGACACAGTGCGTGAGACACACACACAGAGGGCTGTTTACACTCTCACACACTGTGAGCCATCTACACTCAGACACAGTGCGTGAGACACACACACAGAGGGCTGTTTACACTCTCACACACACTGTGAGCCATCTACACTCAGACACAGTGCGTGAGACACACACACAGAGGGCTGTTAACACTCTCACACACTGTGAGCCATCTACACTCAGACACAGTGCGTGAGACACACACACAGAGGGCTGTTTACACTCTCACACACACTGTGAGCCATCTACACTCAGACACAGTGCGTGAGACACACAAACAGAGGGCTGTTTACACTCTCACACACTTTGAGCCATCTACACTCAGACACAGTGCGTGAGACACACACACAGAGGGCTGTTTACACTCTCACACACACACACACTGTGAGCCATCTACACTCAGACACAGTGCGTGAGAGACACACACAGAGGGCTGTTTACACTTTCACACACTTTGAGCCATCTACACTCAGACACAGTGCGTGAGACACACACACACAGAGGGCTGTTTACACTCACACACTGTGAGCCATCTACACTCAGACACAGTGCGTGAGACACACACAGAGGGCTGTTTACACTCTCAAACACACTGTGAGCCATCTACACTCAGACACAGTGCGTGAGACACACACACAGAGGGCTGTTTACACTCTCACACACTGAGCCATCTACACTCAGACACAGTGCGTGAGACACACACACAGCGGGGTGTTAACACTCTCACACACACTGTGAGCCATCTACACTCAGACACAGTGCGTGAGACACACACACAGAGGGCTGTTTACACTCTCACACACACACACTGTGAGCCATCTACACTCAGACAGTGCGTGAGACACACACATAGTGGGCTGTTTACACTCTCACACACTGTGAGCCATCTACACTCAGACACAGTGCGTGAGACACACACACAGAGGGCTGTTAACACTCTCACACACACACACACTTTGAGCCATCTACACTCAAGACACAGTGCGTGAGACACACACAGTGGGCTGTTAACACTCTCACCCACACTGTGAGCCATCTACACTCAGACACAGTGCGTGAGACACACACAGAGGGCTGTTTACACTCTCACACACACTGTGAGCCATCTACACTCAGACACAGTGCGTGAGACACACACACAGTGTGCTGTTTACACTCTCACACACACACATACTGTGAGGCATCTACACTCAGACACAGTGCGTGAGACACACACACAGAGGGCTGTTTACACTCTCACACACTGTAAGCCATCTACACTCAGACACAGTGCGTGAGACACACACACACACAGTGTGCTGTTTACACTCTCACACACACACACACTGTGATCCATCTACACTCAGACACAGTGCGTGAGACACACACAGAGGGCTGTTTACACTCACACACTGTGAGCCATCTACACTCAGACAGTGCGTGAGACACACACACAGAGGGCTGTTTACACTCTCACACACACTGTGAGGCATCTACACTCAGACACAGTGCGTGAGACACACACAGTGGGCTGTTTACACTCTCACGCACAATGTGAGCCATCTACACTCAGACACAGTGCGTGAGACACACACACAGAGGGCTGTTTACACTCTCACACACACTGTGAGCCATCTACACTCAGACACAGTGCGTGAGACACACACAGTGGGCTGTTTACACTCTCACGCACACTTTGAGCCATCTACACTCAGACACAGTGCGTGAGACACACACACAGAGGGCTGTTTACACTCTCACACACACTGTGAGCCATCTACACTCAGACACAGTGCATGAGACACACACAATGGGCTGTCTACACTCACACACGTACATACAGAAGCACACACGTACATACAGAAGCACAGACCAAGCTAAAAAAAAAAGTTTTACTCTGAAAGGGTGGCGACAGCAAACCGAGCACCAACATTAATGACCGGTGATGCTTTCGAGTAAAGGGGTCACGTTTTTTTTTTCGAGTGAATGCTGTTATTATTGAAACTTTATGATGGGAGGGAGAAGTGGTGAGGACGTCGACAAGTGGTGTGATGGGTGCGGAGGGGTGTCCACCGCGTCTCTTACCCGCCATGTCCGCCTTCAACGCCTCCGCTTGCCTGCACACAGCACGCACGAACGTGCCCGGAGACAACAATTTGTAACCACTGCCATCAATACTATTGAATGCTGTTACCGATGACGCTCCAGTAAATAACGCTGACGTTCACACTGCTAACTAAGGGCGAACATTGGCACCGGAGATATTAGGAAGCCGCTGGGAGCTATGCACTTTGAAATCATCTAGATTGATAAACTCATAACTTTAGCACTGCTTTCTGTGTTTAGTTTAGTTGTCCTTGGCCTCCTGCACCTCCCATTCGCACGGTTGGCAATGTATGGTGCGAAAGAAGTGAAACATGAGTGAGTGGGTGGGTGAGTGATTGAGTGGGTGGGTGAGTGATTGAGTGGGTGGCTGGGTTGGTGGGTGAGTGGCTAACCATCGAACGAAGACGGTCACTGCATTGTGAGCTTTCAGATGCGCTTCTGCGGCCGTCTGGAACGCTCTTCCGTCCGATATTAGGAAGCCACTGGAGCTATGCACTTTCAAATAATCAATATTGACAAACTAATTTCTCTGCAAACTGCATTTTGTGTTTAGGTTGTTGTCCTTCGCCGACACCTCCAATTAGCGCAGTTGGCTACGTATGGTGCGGAAAAGGTTCAACATATGCACAAGGCTGAAAGGTTTGGTGCTGGCCACACTATTCCCTTGTGCACCATGCTGCCTTAAATAGGCGCTCGCTAACAAAACCTAGGGCCACTTTTAAGATGTGTCTGTAGTACAGTAGTAGGGGAGTGGTGGTGCAGTGGTTGGCGCACCCGTAGGAGCCCCAGCCTCACTAAATTTGATTCCCGTCCGCGGCCAACATCAGGGCCGAGTGACATCTGAGCCGGCCTAGACTCCCCAAATGTCATCATCCTCATCAACCAGAATCACTCCAATGCTGGACAAAGGCCTCCCCAAGCCATCCCATCTCTCACGGTCCTGCAATGTAGCAATCCACCAAGCGCCTGCACGAGAGGAGCCAATTTCATCGCTGCGTCTCCTCTGTGGACAATCTCTCTGGGCGCGTTCCCTCTCTTGGTTGTCACTCCCGTCCTTGGGGTGCCACGGTGGCGAGATGTTAACAACCTTGCCTGGTCCACAGGAGGTTGTGGATTCAATCCCTACCCTGACGCCTGCTGCATATTTGGAGTTGGATGTTCTCCCCGTGGATTTTTCTCCGGGTACTCCGATTTTTCCCTCCATATTTAAAATCATGCGTTTCGAATATTTGGCTGCAAAACATTTTCACGTAAGGCACTTCATTGGGCTATCATTTGTGGCCAGGTCGCTATATAGTTCTGTAAAATAACTATATAGCTCAGTGGGTCTTACCTGGTAAAATTTAAAAAGTTTTTTTTTATAGTTTATTAGTAATACAATTCAAAATATCAACACAAATACTCGTGTAAACTTGGGCCAAATTCTGTTAGTGCTGATTCTTAACCTCATGATGTTGTTACGTTTGTGAATAGTATGAAACATCGCAGGTCTGCACAGCGAGCGTGCGTACCAGTCGAGACTACTACTACTCAAGCGTGTTTGTGCTAATCTTTCTCTTGCTTTAAGGTATTTTGGCAGCGAATCTAACAAGTTATTTCTTGTTTTTACAGCATTAAATGAGTAGTCCCAAAACGTCAAACGGCCAGCAACAATGATCACTATCACAGCTGTAATACACAACACGACATAACCGTTGGATAAGTAACACGGTTCTTAATTTAAGCAAAGGTTACAAAACAAATATTTGAAAATAGTTTCACCTACAAATATTTGTGGTTAATGCAGACATTATTCCTTTCAAAAGGTTTCAGTTTGGTGTTTTAACATCTTAACACCTGTTTTGTTGCCAGAAAAAAAAGGGGAAAACCTATTCCTATATTTTGACACTGGCAAAGGAGGTCCCATAATTAAGCAAGGTTATTGCTACTATTACGAGAGTTTGAGGAAAAAGTCGACGGGAAGGAATTCCAACAAGCGGTGCGAGGTAAGACGCAAAAAAGATAATTGTTTTGACACGCAGTGTGGCGAGTAGGTCGGCGAGTGAATGAGTGGGCCGAGCGAACGAGTGGGGAGAGTGAATGAGTGGGCCGAGTGAATCAGTGGGCATGTGTGTTGCTGTGACTTCTCGCGTGGTGGTGGAACAGTCTTGAGGACACAACACAGCTAGCTCGTGTTTGGTAGAGCGAGTTCTCAACGCGGGTGGAGGAATCGGCGATGAGTGAAGTTTACGGGAGCAGTAACTTTTTTTTTATTTTGCCAGGTAAGCCCCAATTAGCTATACATCTCTTCTGCAGAAGCGGCCTGATAGCCCAACGAAGTGGCTTATCATGTAGAACTTTAAAGCGGACAAATACTCTTAAACGTATGTTTCTAAATGTGGAGGGAAACCCCGGAGAAAACGCCACGCCACCACGGGGAAGGAGAGACGCAAACTCCAAATATACAGCAGGCGTCAGGGTCCGGATCGAACCCACGACCTCCTGTATACCAGGTGAGGGATGTAACATCTCATAGCCACCGTGATGATGATGATGAGAGAGACACGCAAACTCAAAATATACAGCAGAAAGCGTTGTCAGGGTCGGGCTCAAATCCACGACCTCCTGTATACCAAGCGAGATAGTTAACATCTCCTAGCCACCGTAGGAGCGAGGAGGCGACTGACGGGAAATAATGCCTCCGCGTGGATTATGTAATGCTTTTAACGCGTCTGTCTTCGTAGTTAAACTGCAACTGTTCAATCAACAGCACGGAAGAAGTCGCCGATGGCCTGCAGGGCAGTGGCCGTTCTCACAGACGGCGTCGTCCGTTGTGCCATGGTTGTTTGTCTGTCTCTCAAGTATTTGGCGACGTTCCCTCCGATCGAATTGGCCCCGGAATCTCTCCAGGGTGAGCGCCCCAAAACGCCAGCAACACAACTTGACACTCAGTTTCTCCCGTCGTGAGCCATGTTTACGAGCCATAAGCGTCCCCCGGGTACACGCAGATGCAACGAGAATCATTCCGTGTGCCCTTTCGAGCTTACTTGGAAAGGTTCAATAGCTCAAAACACTATTCAAGCCAGTGTCTCAAGCGGAGCCTCGCGGCGGCAGACTGAGAGTCGACTGCGGAAAAAGAATTCCCCCCCCAAAAACCCCCAACAACGGCCTGACCACCACACCACTGACGCAACATCCTGGCCGGCGGGGCTCGCTAGGCAACAAGGGGGGGCCCGTAGAGGCCTAGTGTCCCGAGGACCGCATAGGGGTCACGGCGAGACTCTGGGACTGTTGGGGACTGCGGCACCGGGGCCGCGCGGCTCGACGTTGGCGGGGCACGGGGTGACGGGAGCCGGGGGGGTTGGCGAGGAGAAGGGGGGTTACCGTAAACACAGCGCGCAGTCGCCCATGTCTGCGCGCTAAACGGGCGCCATCTTTCTTCTTGTGATGGGGGGGGGGCGGCGGGATGGAGGGGTCCCGGAAGTGATGCACAGGAAGCGGGGTTGCACTTCCGGGAGTGCGTGGGGGGGGGGTAAGAAGGAGGGTGTGCGGGGGGAGGGGTTGTGCGGGGAGGGTGTGGGGGAGGGTCTGCAGGGGGCGGGGGGTGGTGTGCGGGGGAGGGTGTACGGGGGGGGGGTGCGGGGGTTTGGTTAAACGTGGGGGAGGGGGGGGCTGCGTGGGAGGGTGTGCGGGGGGGTGTGGGGGGGAGGGTGCGGGGGGGTGTGGGGGAGGGTGTGCGGGGGGGTGTGGGGGAGGGTGTGTGGGGGAGGGGGTTGGTGGGGGTGTACAGGGGGGTGTGCAGGGGGCGGGGGGGAGGGTGTGCAGGGGGGGTGTATGTGGGGGGGGGGTGTGCGGGGGGGGGCGTGCGTGGGGGGGGGGGGTGCGGGGTGGGGGATGTGCGGGGGGGGGGGCGTGCGTGGGGGGGGAGGTGTACGGGGGGGGGGGTGCGGGGGGTGTACAGGGGGGTGCGGGGGAGGGTGTGCGGGGGGGTGTACGTGGTGGGGGTGTGCAGGGGGGGCGTGCGAGGGGGTGTGCGGTGGAGGCTTGTACGTGGTGGGTGGGGTGTACTGGTTACCAAGTGAGTTTGTTCCCCCACCCCCTCCGCTTGTTCCCCACGTGGCCGTCGAACGAACGTGTTGGCCGTCAACTACCGGACGAGTGCCTCGCCAATGATTAGATTCAGATAATTTTTTTATATATATTGTAAGAATCCGATGAGCTATGAAGCTCTTTTTTTCACACATGTCCAGTAGGGGCACGGGTTGAGAACGTTGCAACAACAACAAACACACAGTACCATCACACGATAGGGGTGTGAAGTACAGTATAGGTAAAACAAAAAAGCCCACTGAGCTTTGAGCTTTCTTTCTCAGAAGCGACGTGGCCAACAAAAGATAGCTCAATAAAGTGGCTCATCATGCGGAAGTTTACAGCAACAAAATCATCTAATCGGAGGACCCGGAGAATAAAGTCCACGCGAGCACGGTGAGAGAGACACGGAAACTCCAAATCTACAGCAGCAGCAGGCGTCGCCATTGTCATTAACATCTCCTAGCCACCGTGATGATGGGAGAGAGGGGGGGGGTGTGATGCCGTCACGGCGGAGCCGTGCCCACCGCCGTGACGCCGCCGCCGCTGTGCCCCTCCCACATGAACGCACGGGCACCCCACGTAGGGCCCAAGGGGGGACTCACCTGGCCCGACAGGTTTTCGTCCAGAAGCCCCTAATGGGATCAAGCCGCGCGGTTTCCTGCGGCCGGGGAATTGGGCGACCTCCCCCCCCCGACGCTGACACGCACCACGGCGCCGTGACCTGGTATTAAAGTTGCGTGGTCACGGCAGGGGCCGTTGAGCCACCGCCAGCAGAACCACGCGCACACGCACAACACGAGTCAGTGGGCTGATAGCGGGAAGAGCAGAAAGCGGACGTCGAGGGAACCACTGCGGCGACGTCACCAGAGCTGGGATCCGAGTAATCAAGAGGGCGGGAAAATCCAGGCCTCTGATCGGACAGGAGGCCAAGGGGGGTACAGCATCGGAATGCCTTTGTTATAGGTAGGATAAGAGGAGGGGGGATTCAGGCAGTAAAGGTTAGAGTCCTTCAAAGCATCGAAGTCAGCGGGGTGTTGGGGCAGCCGTTGGAGTCGTCCGTGTGACGAAGTTCGACGCAGCCAAGCCCAACTCTCCACGGAGTCGACGCGCGGCATCGCCGTCCACAGCTTCTGCAGCGTCAGATTGGGAGTACGGTGAGCGTGGGCTAATCGATCAGAGGGAAGCAAGGGGAGCGCCAGGCAGGATAAATTAAGTCTAGGATCCCCGAAGGATAGGCTAGTTAGGGTCTGCTGACCCGCACAATCACACGTAGTTTAGCGGGTTACCCGCAGTGAATAAAAATAGCCAGTAGAGAATGAACTGTGTCGTGTGGTCTTTTGTGAGTGTGAAGAGGAGAGTGGAGCGCCTTGCGTTCGCGTGCACGCGCGGCTGTTCAGACGGCCTTCAAATCGGCGCGGAGTGACTCCCTCCAATCAGCGGCGCGCGCACGGCGGACACCCCTGCCCTCTAACCCCTGACCCCCAGTTCCCCGCGTGTGATTGGGCTACGGAGCCGGGCAGGTAGCGGGGTCGGGTTTGTTAGTGCCTGGGCACGAACAGATCCCGGGGGGGGGGGGCAAAGCGTTGGCTAGCCGTACCCCCTTTTGTCTACGCACGACAACGGGGGGTTTACCGCACGGGGGGTTTACCGCACGGGGGTTTACCGCACGGGGGTTTACCGCACGGGGGGTTTACCGCACGGGGGTTTACCGCACGGGGGTTTACCGCACGGGGGTTTACCGCACGGGGGGTTTACCGCACGGGGGGTTTACCGCACGGGGGGTTTACCGCACGGGGGGTTTACCGCACGGGGGGTTTACCGCACGGGGGGTTTACCGCACGGGGGTTTACCGCACGGGCGTGCTCACCGCAGCGCGTCGTAAGCGTAGAGCAGTCGGCCGCCCCACCAACTGAACCATGCCTAGGCGGGCAGCAACAAGGTCGGGAGCACAGGCGGGGCGAGGAGTTGGAGGTCGGTAGCCCCGAAACCCCACAGGGCAGTCGGGGCGTGGTGGTGGTACGATTGAGACGGACGAGGCGGGGGACGGAGGGATTAGGACCGAGGAGGCGGCGGGGGGGGGGGGGGCAGGAGCCCCCCGCAAGAGACGCGCAAACTCCAAATATACAGCAGGCGACATCCTCCATGAAGGTCGGACATAGGGTTTGCCGACCTTCATGAAGATGTTCATATTTGTAAGCTTGGGAACTTTTATTATTACACCATTTTTATTAACTCGTTGTTGTTGTTGTTGTATCCTCAAATCTTGTAACTCAATTTTTAACCACTTCCCAATGCGGTATCGACTGCAAGCTTGGCATACTTATGCCATACTGATGACAATACTATATCCTGCCATAAAAATAATAAAAACATTTTAAGTTTTTACACGTAGGCTTTCGCGACCAATATTATAAAAAAAACATTTTAAAACAATCTTTTTTTCATGCGTTATGTTTTCGTCTTGGCTCTAATTGTCCACGCTCAACTCACGTTGGCTGTAAATCACCACGGGTCCCTGACGTTACGTCAAGCTTCATGGCCACTTCCTGGAGTCGTGGAGTTCTGACATTACTAGTACGGTACATTTCATTAAAGCGTGTTTTTTTAAGAAAAAGTTTAAAAAAAATATTACTTAATCGACGATTATTATCGGGCCACCCAAAATACAAATGCGTTGAAAAAAAACCGTGACATGCGGGTCACGGTCTATATCGGTCCTACGTGAATATCGAGGGCGGAATTCACCAGTGACCGGTGCGAGGTGTCTGCAAGAGGGGTGAGTGCGGAGCGGGTTCAGGTATCACTTTGGAGCGGGTTCAGGTATCACTTTGGAGAGGGTTCAGGTATCACTTTGGAGCGGGTTCAGGTACCACTTTGGAGCGGGTTCAGGTACCACTTTGGAGCGGGTTCAGGTATCACTTTGGAGCTGGCTCAGGTATCACTTTGGAGCAGGTTCAGGTAACACTTTGGAGCGGGTTCAGGTATCACTTTGGAGCTGGCTCAGGTATCACTTTGGAGCGGGTTCAGGTATCACTTTGGAGCGGGTTTAGGTATCACTTTGGAGCGGGTTCAGGTATCACTTTGGAGCGGGTTCAGGTATCACTTTGGAGCGGGTTCAGGTACCACTTTGGAGCGGGTTCAGGTAACACTTTGGAGCGGGTTCAGGTATCACTTTGGAGCTGGCTCAGGTATCACTTTGGAGCAGGTTCAGGTAACACTTTGGAGCGGGTTCAGGTATCACTTTGGAGCTGGCTCAGGTATCACTTTGGAGCGGGTTCAGGTATCACTTTGGAGCGGGTTTAGGTATCACTTTGGAGCGGGTTCAGGTATCACTTTGGAGCGGGTTCAGGTATCACTTTGGAGCGGGTTCAGGTACCACTTTGGAGCGGGTTCAGGTAACACTTTGGAGCGGGTTCAGGTATCACTTTGGAGCTGGCTCAGGTATCACTTTGGAGCAGGTTCAGGTAACACTTTGGAGCGGGTTCAGGTATCACTTTGGAGCTGGCTCAGGTATCACTTTGGAGCGGGTTCAGGTATCACTTTGGAGCGGGTTTAGGTATCACTTTGGAGCGGGTTCAGGTATCACTTTGGAGAGGGTTCAGGTATCACTTTGGAGCGGGTTCAGGTACCACTTTGGAGCGGGTTCAGGTACCACTTTGGAGCGGGTTCAGGTATCACTTTGGAGCTGGCTCAGGTATCACTTTGGAGCAGGTTCAGGTAACACTTTGGAGCGGGTTCAGGTATCACTTTGGAGCTGGCTCAGGTATCACTTTGGAGCGGGTTCAGGTATCACTTTGGAGCGGGTTTAGGTATCACTTTGGAGCGGGTTCAGGTATCACTTTGGAGAGGGTTTAGGTATCACTTTGGAGAGGGTTCAGATATCACTTTGGAGAGGGTTCAGGTTCCACTTGGAGAGGGTTCAGGTATCACTTTGGAGCGGGTTTAGGTATCACTTTGGAGCGGGTTCAGGTATCACTTTGGAGAGGGTTTAGGTATCACTTTGGAGCGGGTTCAGGTATCACTTTGGAGCTGGCTCAGGTATCACTTTGGAGCAGGTTCAGGTAACACTTTGGAGCGGGTTCAGGTATCACTTTGGAGCTGGCTCAGGTATCACTTTGGAGCGGGTTCAGGTATCACTTTGGAGCGGGTTTAGGTATCACTTTGGAGCAGGTTCAGGTATCACTTTGGAGAGGGTTTAGGTATCACTTTGGAGAGGGTTCAGATATCACTTTGGAGAGGGTTCAGGTTCCACTTGGAGAGGGTTCAGGTATCACTTTGGAGAGGGTTCAGGTATCACTTTGGAGTGGGTTCAGGTATCACTTTGGAGCTGGCTCAGGTATCACTTTGGAGCGGGTTCAGGTATCACTTTGGAGAGGGTTCAGGTATCACTTTGGAGAGG